AGTTGTGTACCACCTACTATTTTTAGTTCCAAATAGTAAAGAATGAGGCATAGCTGAGGGTCAGAACAGAAGAGCAGAGACTGTTAAGGACAAGGAATTTTATATGCATCAAGTCATTTCCTATACAAAAAATTTAATTGTGTATAGTGAAATACATACATAAGAATTAAGTGATTGTTTATAATTAAATTACTTGGTTTTAAAACAGCAAAACCTAAAGGAAAACACTGCATTTGCTTTTAACATAAATAGATGACTTCTTTAAGTTTGAAATGAACTTTAAATACTTTAAATTGCATAGCTAAATACAATGGATGACTTGAGAGCATTCTGGGGACTTGATCACTTGAGTCACAGACATTGCTACACATGAATAGTGGGGACAGAACTGCAGATGGACTCAGTCTTTTGGCCAATATTGGGTTGGTTGAGATTTTTTGATACTTAAGTCATAATGAATAAAGTTAAATTCCTCTCCTCTGTAGGTTTTTGTGGCTGCTATTTATTTATTTCTACTTACTTAAATTATAGTTACAGTTAGAAAAAGTATTCTGAGATTAGGAAGTGTAATTATTTAGGGAGCAAAGAGTTGTTTTAAAAATTTTAGTATCATTAGGAGGAAGTTGAAAAAGACTGGAATTCCATTATCTTGTAAGAAGTAAGAAATATTTATCGATTCCCAAATGGAGCTTAAAAAACAAAAAACAAAAAAAAACCTTTCCTCTTTTAGGAAGTTGTGAATGACCCAGCGAGAGCTCTAGTAAGCTTTACTGAACCGAGCTGCTAATAGTTATTTAATGTTATTCTTCAGTGGGAAAGAATCTCTGTGGATTTTCCTTTTAATCTCTTTGAATTGTAGGCTCGTAAACCTCTCTTGATGAGCCTGCCACTGTTTTCTTAGATCCCACCATTGAGACAATGGAGCCACAGAATTCTTTCACCTCTTGTTGTCAGACAAACCCAATAGAACACAGGATCAGAAGGGTCTTACTTCTAAAGGTTTAAAGATTCTTTTTCAAGTAACCACATAAATTATTTGATTTTATCATTATATTGCACAGGAACCTCTTTAACTATCGTGCATTGCTTTCTATATGTAAAAAAATTGGGAAATTTTTCATATCCCCATATTTAGTTAATCATGTCAGCACTGCACAGGGTGTGAATAGACATTAAATGTTCCCTGATACCTTCAAAAAAGTTGAATCTATTCACTTCAAAAGAATTAGGCCTTAATCAATAAAGAAAAATAATTTTTAGAAAATTAGGAATCATGTAATGTTGTTGATCTCAAGATAGAGTACAAATACCAGGCAATGCATTTTCTTTCCAGTGGCTGGTTGTTTTTTTATGTGTGTGTTTTTTGTTTTGTTTGTTTTTTGTTTTGTTTTGTTGTTATTACCATTCTATAAGAGTTCAGATTTAAATCTAGCCTTTGTTCCTTTAATTAAAGCACTTTCTAAGCCAATTTATGTTTTCTCAATAATTTTAGTAGTGTCATGTTAACAGGAGAACTTTGAGATAGGATTTATGTTTTCAGATTTAAAATCTTTCATTGTAACAAGCAAAAATATTTATAATATATAATACTCAAAATAAAACAAATTGATCTGTATTGCAGATGCCTTGCCTGATAGACAATTATTAAAGCTAATTACAGGGTTCCTGTTACTTTTATTGGCTAAGGATGAATTAAATTTTCTAATTATAACTACAATGGTGGACAAACAGAGATCATTGTTTAAAAAGCAAAAAAAAGCAAAAACAGGAGGATCCATGGTGGCAGTGGAATAAGTGAAGCTACGCTCATCTTCTCACAGGACCAAACAGGAATTAAAATTAAAATATAGAGCAGTCAGCCTGAATAACCAGCTGAATAGCTGGATAGAAATCTTATAACCACGGATTCACAGAAGAAGCCACATTGAGACTGGTAGGAAGGGCACAGCAAAAGAATTAGTCCCACTTCCATGGGCCATGGGCTGTGGCTGAAATTCCAGAATGATTTCTCAGCTGCAAAGAAAGGTTCCCCCTGAGAAGAGGGGTCTCAATCCCATGCCAGGCTCCCCAGCCCAGAGCACCAGAGCTGAGAAAGAGGTACCCCTATAATATTTGGCTATGAAAACCCGTGGGCATTCTGTCTGCCAGGGATAGACAGGATTCTACTAGAAACACAGGTGCCCCTTTAAAGGGCCAAAGCACAAAAATCTCCTTGGCAGCCACTCGGGCTCTTCATAGAGAGGGTGGAGCAGACTAGAATTGTGAGAGGAGAGACTGGCGTTTGTGGCTCGGAGGAAGTAGTTAAAGGGACAGCCGCTAGGATCCCTGAGCTGAGATCTCCCACATACCAGCTGCCATCTCTCCTGGGTGGAGCACTTCCCTCCACAGGGCACCAGCTTAGAGCAATGCATAGCCCCACTCCCTGTTGCCCTACCTTGTGGAGCTTGTGCCCTGCTGAGGAACCAGTTGCCTTGGCTGGGGACGCAGAGGTCTGGCAGACTTGGGCGGGAGCATTCATCCCACTTTCCCTCTAACCTGACTGACTCTTCCCCCACACTGTTGCCTTCCCTCACAGGATATCTGCTAGCCCCAATCTCCAGGTTTCCTGTGTTCTAACTCACCCAACTCCTGGTGGCTTTGTCCTGCCTAGGTCTGGGCAGATCCATGACAGTTTTGTGGCTCTGAGGTGAGGCCCTCTCCCTCTACCATCCCCCAAGCCTGACTGACATCTCCTCCTCACTGGAGATCCACTAGCCCCATATTCCCAACTCCTGGTTTCCTTGCTCTACTGAGACTCACCTCCTGGCAGAATCGGACAGGTGCCATTTTTCTCTCACAGGCCCGACTGTGCAGAGCCCTACCTTCACTCAGCCAAATCTTGGTCTCTTTCTGCCTAATAAACTACTGGCCTGACCCTCGTGACTCCCTGAGACCCCGCCTCACTACAAAGATGTGTGAGCACCCAGCTTGAGTATACCCAGGGACATTTTGCTGAGTGGCCTCAGACTCAGCACTGGCAAGGAAGTTGAACCTGTATCAGTGTGGTAAACACCACTCACCCCTACCTGGTCACTCACTAAGAACCTACCTCAAGCAACACAAGTACCAACAGAGGCGCTTTCAGTAACAGAGCCTAACAGGCAGAGCAGGCAGAGGTGGATTTTGGGGTGCCTTGTTTCCAGCTGACTTGTCCCCAGTCCTGATGATGGTAAAAGCTGGTCTTGGTGTGCACTTGGTCCTTCATACTCACAGGCCTAGCAAATCCAAACTGTGATCGCTTTGTAACTCCAAATGGGTTGGCCAGGACCAGTCACAAGCAGCATCTGACATTGGCCTGCACTGGAGAGGCCACAGAACCCATGCACTGAGTGGCCAGCTTTTGTTTGGAAATTACTTGGCATGTTGATACTCTGCATAAGCTATTCAGTGGGCACACAGAGATAGAGGACGTACCCCTAACCACTAGGCAAAGTCTGTATCTTTGGAATTTAGGTATAGTTTAATAGCCTGTTGGTACCCAATAAGATGTGAAGTGATACAATATTTGACGTACCTAATAGAAAACTATGGTGAGTTCAAAATAATGTATAATCTCTTTACCTATTTTAAACTTGTATAACTCACCAATAAATTTTGAACAGGCAGTTATTAAATATAATTAAATTGCAGGCATTCACACAACAGAACAAAGGGAAGTATTCTCAGCAAGTGAACAAGAGACTAGGGAGAAAGCTAAACAAAATTTCATTGAGGTGGAGGGTGGATTTCTGTTAAGTGTTTACTTTTAGAAGAATGATACCAGGAACTATGTGACTTGCCTTTAAAGGAAAGCCTAGTGCTTCTCATTGCTAGGTGCTTTCTTTGTCAAAAAATACACTGATTGTAAGCAAGAGTGCATGTTTATACTACCTGGACTGTACTCTTGCTAAACTTAGTTGGAATTCCAGTTTTCTTTTCCATCTACAGGAAAAACTTTGGCCCAGGAAACATCAAGAAAACAGCAACACAATACAGTTGTATTTTATAATTACTGAAATATTGTAAAGTAATTCTTCCTTTAAGTTACTTATTATTCTATTGCAAACAAATAAAAATCTGATGACTATTAGCCCATTTTAAAGTACTTTTAGCTGGGTCTGATTTTATTGTTACACCCTCGTATTAGTCTGTTCCATATTCTATAGACTTGGTGGCTTAAACAACATAAATGCATTTCTCACAGGTCTGGAGGCTAGGAAGTCCAAGATCAGGGTGCCAGTTAAAGTGATTCCTGGTAAGGTCTCCTGGCTTGTGGACAGCCTCTTGCTAGCTGAGCCCTCCTATGATACTTTCTATGGTGCATGCATATGGAGAGACCTCTGTTTCCCTTATAAGGCCACCAGTTCTGACAGGTTGGGACCTCCTACTCTTTCTACCACATTGAACCTTAATTACCTCCTAAAATATCCTTGTCTCTAAATAAAGTGACGTTGGGGGTTAGAGTTTCAGCACATGGATTTTATTTGGGGAGGGGGTGTGTGTGTGTGTCATAATTCAATCCATAACTACCAAACTCCTAAAGTAGATAAGAGATAATTCAATATATAGGGGTAGAAAGCTACTAAAATATTAGAACTAAGATTCAAATATAGTGTTTTTATTCATCTCCATGTTGCCTACCTTAGTTACAGATATAATTTATCTGACGACAACAACAACAAAAAACTAACCTCTGACAAAATATAGCAATCACTAATTTATCCTAAGGGATCATCAAAATCAACTACATAGTTTTGCATGTTGCATATTTGTGGAAAAGGGGTAGACTTTGTTAAAGTTTATAAGTGGTATGGTCTGGAATGTTTAGTCAGCTGAAGTCAGGTAGCCTTAAAATTGCTGCCAGTTTGTAAGGTAAAATTTAAAATGGTAAGTAAATTAGAATTATAGTGATCAGGCTGGAGTTGCGTTTTTAGCACTCTTCATAGCTGTCAAAATTAAGTGTCTCATTTTATATTTTACAGAAGATGATCTAAGAAATATGGGACCAGTAGATGCTCAGGTATATCTTGAAGAAATGTCTTGGAACAAAGGTGGGAATTTATTTTCTCTCTTGACTATAGTAAAGGAAAATATTAGAAATTTTCTGTAAGAAAATAAAAACTCTACGGGATATTTGGAATCTTAAAAAGAAATAATAGCTTGGCTTTTGATGCATCTGTGTTTTTGTCTTGAATAGTTTTGCTTCATTCTAAACTTTAATTATTGATGTCCCCCTGTATGACTCATTCCTAGTTATTTTTCTATTCTAATTAGAGTTTACTTATATAAGATTTCATAAGGTTTTCTTTTTTCAAAACTACTTTGGTTTTTGGTTTATTTTCCATCTGTGTAATGGAAAAATAAAGAAGATAATTTTCCTACCCTTCCTATTCTGACATTCGAGATGCATTCCCCTTAGAATTTTTGTTTGTTTATCATAAATTATCAGGGCAGGCCTTTCAATGTTATATTGTTCTACTTGGAGTTTGATTTTATACTTTTTTTGTCTGAGGCAGAAAATAAAAATCAGTCACTGTCTTTTACTCACCATGAAGTCATGTCTTTTTCACTTTCCTATTACTAGAATTTTAATAGTTAAATCTAATTTCTCTATTTCTGTGAGTTGCTCAGGGAAACGTTGATATTTCTGTGAGTTGCTCAGGGAGACGTTGTTGGGTTTCTTTCCTAAATGAAGACCTTGAATACCACACTTCCATGTTTCTCCGGTCAAGTGAAGTAGATAAGAAAGAGATAATTCAATATATAGGGGTAGAAAGCTACTAAAATATTAGGGTTAGGGTTAGGGTTAAGGTTAGGCTTAGGGTTAGGGTTTAGGGTTCCCTGAAAATTCATTTCCCTGAATTTGTATATACTTTTAACCCTATAATTTTGTTCAGCCTGGCATACAAATCCCTTAGGGACTTACAAAATTTACTAAGTGTGAATAGGTAGAATATAAACCCCCCATCCTTCCTGAAAACAAGTTTAATGAACTATTTTTTAATGGCAAATTCTTCATGTAGTGCTCTCAGAAGTTGGGTCGCAAGCCATATTGACTCAGAGGATCATTTTTTTGCCTTTGGGCCACTCTGCTCCTATAATGCCAAATGAGGTCCTGGAGTAGAAATTCTTATTTGCAGGGAATGATTAGAAAACAAGGTTTTGTGTAACGGGGGCTCCCAGAGGTTCACATAGTTTCATCAGCGTAAACTGGGAGAGCTATTGCTATGAAGATAGAATACACTAGTGACATAGGCTTTCACTTCTAGATCATGAGCCCAACAGAATAGAACATGTCACTTATCAGGGAGACCTGCCCAGCTAAATAAATCTTCTGGAAATATAGTATTGCTACTTTATCAATCAGTGTGTGTGTGTGTGTGTGTGTGTGTGTGTGTGTGTGTGTTTGAATCTTTCATTAGACAATCTATCTCTTCTTGCTGTAGTCCATGTGACTAGTATATTTTGTTTACAGTTCCTGATAATGTGAAAATGGTGTAAACTGGGTTTTGTAGTTTTTCTTTCTTCAGTAACATTTAAAAATATAATTAATAGTTTAACATTGTTTTAAAAGAATATGGGCTGGATGTCTAAGCATCTGTTAGTCCACGAATATATGAACTTTCTGATACAAGTGAAAATGCTGAAAATTTGGGACACTCAAGATTTAGTACGGAAAAGTGGATGAAATGCTACACGATAGACATGGCCAAATTATCAGCTTCTTGGCCCAAGGACAGTTTGAAATGGCATATTTTATTATGCTTAAAAGGCATACCTGAAGAACTCTTGAGGGACTAAAGTTTTAACCTTTCCCCCTTATAGTTAATTTCATATATAACTTGGTTATTTTGTCTTTATTCATGATATTTAAAATGATTATTTTGGTGAAGTTATCACTTTATTAAGTAATAGAACATATTGGAAGAAAGTTGACAAGATTTGAGTGTTTAGTAAGCATTAACATTTGGAATCATCTATGACAAAACTCCACAGTAGCCCATGGTGGCCTCTGCATCATTTACCATGCACGTCACCTCAAATTGTTTCTCATTGTTCACTGAGTTGATAAAAAAAAAGGGGGAGTGGGGGTGGGGTGGGGTGGGGTGAGAGATGTAGTTTAAGAAAACCAATGGCTAGAATATGCACATTTTACACAATTTAATAAAACAATTCACTATGAAAGCATGCTCCACTACATATGTATGTTGGCTCAGATGGAGGATGTTAGCATTTTTAAATTCCAGATTAAATTATATTTTCTTGTTGGGGGAAAAGGTATTGTGGTAAAAAATAAAAAGCAGAGCTGGTGAATGAATCCGTTTTCCTTAATGATAAAAGAAACACATAAAGTTGGTTCATTTAATTACTAGTTTTTCCAAGTCCAGACTTTATTAGAGAACAAAAAACAAGGCAATTGAATTTTTTTCCCCCTTTCTCTTCTTTCAGTGGCATATATTGATATCAAACTTAAAAAATGAAATTTGAGAACTGAATGAAGATACTGGATGCTAGAAATCATATCTTAGTTCATTTATCTATGTAACAAATTATGACAGTAGTAAAATAATGTGATAATTTTTTTTATTTGATAGCCACTTGTCAGTGATAGTTAAATTGAATGACCAGTAAATTAGGAATTCTTTTAGTTAAAGGACATAGCATTTCAGCTTCTCAGGAAAATTACAGACTTGATAAAATTTCCTTAGACTACGTATCATGCTAGGTTGTTTTCTTTGGACATCTCACTTCAATGGTTGCCCTTTGGTTCACAAACCATTTGTAAACACCAAACAGATACACACATAGAAAAAACACACCATATTGTGTGTTTATATTTTTGAGTCAGGACTCTTAAAATAGTATGATACCAGAACAAATATATTCAAATATTGAATTTGATAAACAGTCAAATTAGCAGTTTTTTTCTAAAAGGATATACTTCAGACAAAAGCAAGTTCTTTAACAAGACAGGTAGAGTTGTTTCTCTTATACAGTTATATTTTAAACAAACACATTATTGAGAATAATATGAAATTTGTATGAATCTTAAGAAAACAGACTTCAAATAAATTTTATGGGTTGCTTCTGAGCATCAGCTTTCACCCCAAGATCTTTGGACTACTGATTTATAGCTTCAGTCCATCTCCTTTATAGAGATTCTTTGGGTGGATCATTTTTAGAAACACTGCCCTTGCCTATATAAGAAATATTTTCAAGTTCTCATTTAATACATTTTACATTTACTGAGCTTATTTCTTTTGTTTTGCAGTTTTTGTGGAATAAACCACATTGTGTGTGTGTGTGTGTGTGTTTGTGTTGTCAGTGTAGTTACTTATAAGCATTTGAAGCATTTTTTCTGTTTTCTCTGCAGATGATCACTCTTACTCTCTGAGTTGCCGTTGTGGTGGAAAATACAGTGTTTCCAAGGATGAAGCCGAAGAAGTTACCCTGATTTCTTGTGATACATGTTCACTAATTATAGAACTCCTCCATTGTAGCTGAAATTGTTCCCTAAATGGACCCTTAACTGTATAGTCAGACATGTTAAGGAAAAGTCCATTCCAACTTTATACATTCAAGCAACTGTAAAGCTGATAAAAAAAAAAAAAAAGGAAACTTTGTCAGCTCTATTATTTGCAAAGAAAATGTAAGCTTGTCAAGCAAAGTCTAATCCACATTAACAGAAAATAAATCTAGCTCTGTCTATGTTTACTAGAGACCTGGTGCACAAAATTCGTGCCTCGGTAGGCCTCTAGGCCTTGCCAGCGATCAGGGCCAATCTGTGGAGTGACTGGCAGGGCAATCGGGGGGGAGGGGACCTGCTGGCACCGCCTGGGCTGGCCTGGGGCCTGGGGAGTGGGGCCAGCTCCTGCACATCATAGCGACTGGTCGTTCCACTGTTCATTTGATTTGTATTTTAGGCTTTTATTATATAGGATAATTTATAGATTGCCAAAAAAAGAGACTTGAATTATAAGTTATTTATAGAAAATTCCTATTTGAGAACTTTATTATTGACTTGTTTCTTCAGATAAGCATATCTCCTCTTTTAATGGGTCACAGTATCATCATATTCCTTTAAAGTTTCTGAGGTAACATGACATTTCTTGCTGTCAAAGTTGTAGGTCTATTGTAGAACTATTTCCAAATCTCAGGTCATTAGAGTTAAATTACAATCTGTGTGAATAATATGTGAGCCTCGTTCTCCCAACTTGAAGACTGACTATGGATTATTCATGAGGTTATTTCAAAGTTAATAAGGAAGACAAAGTTGGGACTGTAGAAGAAGGAATAGCTTTGGAGAAGATGACTTCAGTCCTGCCACTGTATTTCCAAAGCCTTCAAGTGATCGTATTAAACGGAGTAAGGTTCTTGATCACTACCATCTTCACCTTTAAATATAATTTAGGAAATGGTAGCTTTAGAAAAAAAAAAAATGAAACAAATGCATTACTTTCCTTTTTGTTTCAGAGTGCTAAAATACAGTATGAATGCCTATTTTTAGGAATAAGGAACCCATGCACTGCTAGTATGATGAAATGGGCTTTTATAATGTATCATTATTAATTATAGTAAACTGTAAAGATTTTATTTTTCTATATATTTAACATCCTATGTACAGTGTAATTCAGAAACAATTTGAATTTTATTTGAAAATGTATCCTTTATAGGGTCACTGAAACTTTAAATATATACATATATATTTTTAAGTACATTTTTTATTTCAGAGAAGAAGGGAAAGAGAAAGAGAGATAGAAACATCTATGATGAGAGAGAATCATTGATCAGCTGCCTACTGCACACCTCCCACCAGGGATTGAGCCAGCAATCTGGGATGTCCCCCGACTGGGCATCAAACTATCCTATTGGATCACATAGGTCAACGCTCAACCACTGAACTACACTGGCCGGGCTGAAACTATTTTCAAATGAGTGAACCAAGTTTGTGACTTAGCAGCTTTTTATTAGGTTGAATCTTTGCATTTATTGTTGGTTTGGATTTATAAGACTAGTTTGTACTTTAATTTTGTAAATATAGCTAACAAAAAAATAAAATACAATAAAAAATAATTGTTGCTAACGTATGAAGTATATTCATGAGTTTTTTTTATTGTACCTAGAAAACTAAAAATTCAAAAGTGAGGTTGTCATCCAGATTTCCTCCCTAAAAATATTTTTACATATGTCATAAACTTTAGATGATTTATTTTGGATTACGCTTACCCATATATTTTGAATTAATATAGCTTGCAGATTGCGTGTTATTCTTTACATGTAAAAATTAAACATAACAAACTGAATAGCAAATAGTTTATTAGTAAGTACATGGTTTCAGTGGCAATAATAACTTCACTTAAACAGGAGGCAATAATCAAATCAAAAGAATAAGTGTTGGCTAATCATCAGGAAATCTGTGGCCGTTAGGGCTATCACGAAGAAATCCAAAATCATTCAGAGGCCAAATCTGTAAAATCAAAATTGATTGAAGGCAATTAATGAAAGTGATATTATATCATCATATTCCTTTTTATTTCATTCTTTTTCTCTGCTATATAACTAAATAGTTTCTCTGTATTCTTCATTCAAGAACCAATTTCCTACATCAAAATAAGACTTTAGGAAGTAAATTTATATGTGTCTATGTGTTTAAACTCTAACATGGGTTTGAACTGCATGGGTCCAGTTACAGATTTTTTTTCCCAATAAATATACAGTTACCCTCCATGTACCTGGGTTTCATATCCATGTATTTAGCTAACAACAGATTAACCATAAATACTTGAATATATGCTAAAATGTAAAGAATTCTGTAAATTACCCCCAAGTATTCCTGTATATTTTTCCACTTACTGATTGTGAGAAAATAGAGGAGCCAGTGAAAACAATAATCTTCCCTAGGAATCATAAATTTACTACAACCTTGATAAGTCCATTTCTCACTGTACTTAACTAGGATACCCCTGCACTGCAGAGATTTTGAATCTAGACTGCTCTTCTGTAAGTGCATATTAATATAGAGTATCCCCCAAAATGTATATACACACTTTGAATAATTTTAAAGGCAATGTTTATTAACATGCATTTCATTTTCAAAACTGAACTATCAGCTGTTAAAGTGTGTATACAATTTTTGGGGTCATGCTGTATATTCCCAGGATATTAACATGGTTGTAAAAGTAGAAAGAAAATGTTGAATGTTCAAATTAAAGGCTTTCTATGCTACAAACAAAGGTAGTTAATTTTAATTATTTAAACAAAAATATTCTCAATTACCTGTCGCAATGGGGGGAAGGAGTAATGTTTATAGCTATGAAGGCTAACATTTCCATTGCTGTTATTATAACAGGTAAGACCACTAACAGCCTGAAGAGTTCAGAGTTCATTTTGAAAGAAAATGTTTTTTTTACCCTCCAGCTCAGAGAAGAAGGCCTACATTTTAAGTAGAAAACAGTACCTTAAAGAAGATTCGTCCTCTTATTAGTCCATATGGAATAGGTCCATAGTACCTAGAATCTGTAGAATTCTGTAGATTATCACCTTCTAACCAAACATGGCCCGTTGGCACCTGGAATTAGAGAAGAAAGCAGCCCCTTTAAAAAAAAACAAAGACAAATTTGGGTACTGTCAATAAAAAGTGTCTTGTGCAGATAGGGAAAAATGTCCTAAAGTTGTCTTTTCATAAAATACATATAAACCCTATGATTTCATTTTCAAACAATAAAATAACTTATTCATTATTAGTAATAATGTTTTAACTTTATTTTTTAATATATTTATATTTATTTCAGAAAGGAAGGGAAAGATAGAAACATCAATGATGAGAGAATCACTGATCAGCTGTCTCCAGCACACCCCACATGTGATTGAGCCCACAACCCAGGCATATGTCCTGACTGGAATTAGAACTGTGACCACTGGTTCATAAATCGACAACCACTGAACTACACTGGCAGGGCAGATTTCAACTTTTAAATGCCTTTTTTGCCACATGGTTCCCCAAAATTAATTTGTTATACAAACCCCACACTGAGGTTATAAGAGATTAAAACAGTGTGACAGGGTCATTAATTTAATAGACTTCAAAAGAGGTCATTAGGATGCTGATTGAAAATGTGCCCTCCTCTCTCAGTAACAGCATAAACAGGGTAGCCACTTATTCAGCAACATCCTGGGGCCAATAGCAAGGCCAGACTTATTAGAATGCTCATGAAGAACTAAATGGTAATTGATTGTGACATCAATTACAAATAATCTCATCATTTTATTGGAGTGGACTTGTCAGAATTCTAATTAAGATCCCTGTTCTGCCTTGTACAGGCCATATCTTCAGTGCATTATACTTCAATAATGACGATAAAGACCCAGAAGGACCTATTATAAAACCATGAGTTGTAAAATTGATGGTGACCCTCTACTAAAATAAAAGACCCTATTTCCTATATGTCCTGTGTATTAACTGGTAAGTAACATAAGCCTAAATTTTTACTTGATGACAATCATAAATATATTCAGAACAGAAAATGTTTCTTTTTAAAAAAAACAAGGCCTCTTTGATATGACTCATTTGCCCATTAATATCTGTTCAACATAAACTTAAAAAAATTACTTTCCAGCAACAATCCTCTTTTGGAATGACCAAGTTGCTATCACTAACATGAAAATTCAAGCCAAATAAGTTCTTCGGCAATAATATAAGAGTAGATTAAAATGTATTTTATATGGAAGTTTAAAAAAGCTTTTATAACTTTCCAACTAAAGTAAAACAGGACTTCAATAAATGCATTTGTAATACATATTTTGCAAATGGCCAAAAATGGAAATCCCCGATTACATGTTTTCATTACTTCTTATAACCAAAACTTTTAGTAATTAGGTGCTTTTCCTTTTAATACTTTTGTAAATCTGTCAAGATAACTTGAATGACTACATGAGCCTAAGAATATGAATATCCTAGATATAGATATATCGTGTTTCCCCGAAAATAAGACATCCTCCGAAAATAAGACCTAGCGCATGGAAAAATAAGACATCCCCTGAAAATAAGATCTAGCACATCTTTGGGAGCAAAAATTAATATAAGACACTGTCTTATTTTCGGGGAAACAGGGTAGTTTTACAATGAATGTCACAACATTTTACTTTTGTTCAAATCTGCATTTTCCAAGGTCTTAGACACAGCTAACTTTAGGGCTAAATTTTAAATCAAAAGAACCCTTAGATTATTCCTGTTTTTCCTTACTACGTGAGAGGTTTTCTTCCTCAGCTCTGAGAAAGCTTAATCTCTGGGCTGGACAAAAGAATCTAGCCTCTAGTTCTCAGCTATACTTACTGAGGTCCAGTTAAGTGCCTCTTTTAGTACAGGCAACAAATGTAATTGCCTCATGGCCTGCGGGCGTCCCTTTAACAAAAGAGGCTTTAGTGAACCAATCCACAGGTGTTACCTTTCCTGATTCAAGTGAAATCTGATGAAAGAGTCCACAATATCAAATAGCACGTTTACTAAACCATAGTCAAAGTAATTTATTTGATTAAGCAAAAACTAAGTAAAAGTTCTGACTGCAGAATAAGATATTTGTAATTCTGACCTTCCAAAAAGCAGAAAAGCCTAATAACAGCTTTGATTTTTAATTAACTCTTTGCCAAATGTTTTAGAATTTACAAACAGCAAAGGTAAGGGTGGGGATTGGCCCTATTATTGCTTATGCCACTTTAATGGTTCTTAAATAACTGAAAAGAAAACAATAGTTTATTTTTTATTAAAGACACAAAATAACTTTAACAGTTATTAAAAATAAAGGCAAGGAGAGGGACAGAGTTTTTGGAATCTTTTTTTGACATGATTATTTTTTCTTTATCCTCAATTATACAGGAAAAGGAGAGGCATACACGTTTTATAAAACAATCTTTTGGGTAAAGAAAAACAGGATAGTTTCTTTGCCCAGGAAAAGAAGTGCATATAATGAATGTACATTCATGTCATTTAAATTTAATAATTAATACCCAAGTAATTGGTTTTTATGTTACCATCTTTCAGGTAAGCAGGAGCATGTCAAATTACCCCTACCGCTATGTGGCTAATGCATATTCTGCTTAATCATGACATATACCATAAAGTTAGCGAGGTGGCAGAGAAGGCTGCAGGAAGCCCTATTCTTGCAGGAATCTTCCTGCAGTGGGCCTCTAGTCCTATATAATAAAAGGCTAATATGCAAATTGTCCCCTCAACCAGGAGTTAGAGCAGCAGGCTGGCGGGCCAATCGTTCATGTCCCCACCCCCTGGCCAGGCTGGCTGGACCCCACCCATGCATGAATTCATGCACCAACCTCTAATACATATGCACGTGTGCACGCACACACACACACACACACTGAGTGGCCAGATTATTATGTGTTCAAAGATCATAATAATCTGGCCACTCTGTAATTGCCCCAGCTGCTGGTATGAATGATGTCTTCTGGGCTTTTTTCTTTGTTCCTGATTTTCCTATGCAGTCTACTCAGAAATTTTCCAGGTAAACTGTGCTTTGTAATTTATTTCAGTTATATTTTGTTATTTACACTGTATTCAATTACATAGGTCTGGTAGGAGCCAAGACTGTGAATTGAATCCAATATAATTTAAAATGTACTTAATTGTGAATAGCTGCCATCTTATTTATATTAAATGACTTGGTGAAATTCAGTTTTAAGACCAAATCATCAAAATGTTAGTACTAAAGATTAACATTTTTATTCTTTTAATAGGGATTTTCATCAAGCAATGTTTATCAAATAACAAATGCACTGGCTCTCCCTTATGGAGCATTCACTTATTCAGAACTGTCTACCAACAAGTCACAAGGTGAGAGGAAGGGGAATAGGACTGGAAATGAAGCCAGTAATTATGTCCTTCCATACTAGCCATCTGAATCTAATGCCCCATTCCTATAGAATTTTTTCCCTAGGACAATGGATTATTTTGCTTTATGATTTCTTTTCTTGTTCTATTTATAAAACAATGTTATATCGGCTGTTTTTAGAGTAGTATTTAAAAGAAGCATCTTTTGTAGCCTTATTTCAAGACTATATCTGTACTTCCATTGTAATATAGACTCATGTATAATCTGTTTCTCATATTCTAAAAGAAGACCTAACTTAATGAAATACTAGGTTTTAAGGTACATAAAATAGAAACATGCTAAACATATAAATAATGAGTTTTCCTAGGCATGCCTGCTTTTACATATGTTATTTCTCTGTTCCATTCTTATGTTAGGTAGAGAATAGTTTACTAGAATGAGAATGCTTTTATGGACTAAGATTAAATGGGTCACAGAAACCTACAGAATTTTAATTACCCAAAGTGGTAACACAGAACTTCATTTAGTTGTTTATTTCAAAAGATATCTGAACATATTACACCTACTCAACAGTAACTGTCCAGCAGACCACTATCTATCATTGGGAAGCCACATGACCTTTGGAATATATTTTTTGACTCCCAGTTATCGGAGTTAGAATCTGCTTAACATGCTGATGTTGAACATCAGTGTTAGAATTTCTGTCTCAATTTTTCCCAATTACTTTTAGGAAACCTTAAAGTATAGAAGTCTTTTATAACTTGCAGATAAAAGTACATATAATATTTGCATTTCACAGAATTGCACAACTGCCTCCCTATATTCACTCCAATGGAAGGGTTTTCCAACATTGAGCTGGAAACTCAAACCAACTGTGAGTAGTTAAAATATTTTTTAGATGAGCAAAACACATTAGTTTCAGGAAGACGTGCTAATCTCTCAGTAGAAACATCAATTACATATGTACATATACTCAAACATGTAAGGTAAAATTCAATTTTATAATATAAAATTCTATAAACTACATATTGTTGAAGATCAAATTATTCTGAAAATGTTCAGAGAACACATCAGAAAATGCTTAAGTTGTGGGGGCCACAGAAGAGAAGAAAAACATCTCAGAATTGTAAACAAGAAGTCAAATTTATCTTCAGAATCCTGTTAACTATAGGATGAAAAAGTCACGTAATCTCTGCAGTGAACTTCACTTTAGCAAAAGAGTAAACATATTTCCTCCACATCAGCTGCAATCAGGACATTAACAGGATGCCATGATTGATTAACCTGGGAACTGTTGCTGAGAAATGGATGTGTAGCACAGGTTTTTATCACTATAGTCTGCAAAAGCAAGTCCCTTGTTTAGCAATCCTTGTTATAATAAGTGACATTATTAGGTAGTTCTTCTATTTAAGTGACATAAGGATTTAGTGTATCAGCAGCTTATAATAAACAAGCTTTCAATCTCATGATTCCTCTCCCTACATAGAAGTACTTTTTCTGTTTATAATATAAGTGATAATTGAAGGCCATATGGTTGTGACTTTTAGTTGAAGTAAATGACATTTAAACAAACAGAAAAACAGCATTAGGATATTCAAGGATTTGAACTATGACCTACTAGTAAATACACAGTGCACATTAAGAGGCTGTTAGTATTAACTATATAAAGTGATCATTTCATTTAAAAAAAAAAACTGAATTTATTAGGGTGACTTTGCTTAATTCAATTATATGTTTCAGGAGTACAATTCTATAATATATCATCTGTACATTATATTGTATATTCACCACCCCAAGTCAAGTCTCCTTCCATCACCATCTATCCACCCCAGTGACCATTTTCTAATGCTGTCAAATTAGTGAGCTTGTTTTTCACTTTGTTAATCAGTTTTCAAATACATAATAAAACAGCTTTCTTACTGGCATATTGTCCCATTTCCAAGTGTTCCTTTTCAGAACACTCTACTACCTGTGCATCCTGGGAACATTTAATCAGTATTTTTTTTTTTCCGGAAATGTGAAACTCTCTTTCTTATGTTTCCGCCAATAACAATAATGATGTTATTAGCATACTATATAATACAAAAAAAAAAAAAAAGAAATACTACATTCCTTATATGTACAATAATTCTGTGGTAACAGACTAACATTTGGTAAAAAATATTTCACCTTTTGTGTATAACACTGGAATATATGGTATCAAGAACCAAAAAGCTTTAAATAGTCTGACATTTTGATAAGTTGGTAATAAAAGTAAAATTATATACTCTAATAACTACAAATATGTTTTCTTTAGCAAAAGATTGTTATGATCTAATGATAGGAACATACTGAAATCTTCATAATCATATTTCTATTACCGTGTTTCCCCGAAAATAAGACATCCCCTGAAAATAAGACCTAGCACAACTTTGGGAGAAAAAATTAATATAAGACACTGTCTTATTTTCGGGGAAACAGGGTAGTGTTTCCATTTTCAATACAGAGTGGATGCTATGGTTGAAAAACTGAAATTCAATAAAATTTTAATTTTGGAAGATTTAAAAATCAATTATTCATTTTACAGTGAACAACCACTCAAAGTTAACACTCAAAGAAGTAATTTACCAATTACAAGGAACAACTTTACCCATTGCTAATTTGCCAACCAACAAAGGATCAAAATAACAAAATACCTCTATAGTAGTTAAAAGGCACATGCATTTCTACTGAAATGTAGACAACTCTGATTAGCTCACAATGTAGTTAGTAGGTGCTGCATTTTGCAATGGCAACTTAGCCTTCACCTTAACAAAACCAGCATAGCATTTCTGAGTACCAAACCTTCCCTTAAAATAAGAGCAAGATAGGTCAATTTTACTTTTCCTTTGAACGATTCAGTTCACTATTCTAAACTGATAGGTGAGTTCAGAACCAAGTGAATTTCTAGTCTGCTTAGTAAAAAGGGCTGGAAAGTATCATTCACTCCAAATAGAAGTCCATTTGGGGAAAGACACATTAGTCAGCACTCTGCTGTCTTGACTCAAAGTAATAGGGACATGCCAATATTTCCTACAACTTTTACTTGTGATTCTGGAAGGTGGTCAGATAGCCCTACCATGGAAGTAGCTTATATTTCAAATCTTCTTTGAAGACTAGAATAACCACTGGATAACCTCAGAAAAATAAAGTATTTTTCTTCGTCTCTTCATTAGCTTTCATAATAAAATTTTACTACATTTCCTAAGCCCTGGCCCAAATCCCCTACCTTAAATAGGCTTTTACTTTGCCTAACATGCAAATCAATAGGAGCATGCCAATTCATTTTATATACTACAGTATTTCTAATTTGCTTAATGTTTCTCCTTGCAACTAATTATTTTTGGCAAACAAAGGTTCTAGCAGTAAACTGAGAAATTGCTATAGTATAGGAAGGTAAGTTATTTAAGATGTTTTAGCTAAGTACAATTTGTTTCTTTTGAGAGTCACAAATTAAGTTTATATCTTAGCTAACATTGCAAAACCCTCTGCAATAGGACCTTGATTGATAGGGACTACTTAGTTTCCAAATGCTTAATGTAAAAAATAAATTATAGTTCCTAAGTGTTGCTTGTCTCATGAACTTTTAGAACTCTGAAATGAATAAAATGGTTCCACTTCACTTAACCAATGATCTATTTATATTATTTTATGCCAACTTGGGAACAATGCTATTCTTTCATATGCTAAACTATATCCCAGGTTCCAAATGACAATTTTGGTGTTTTGTTCTCTGAGGCATAGAGGATAAATGTTTTTTGCCTGAAATTCAAAACATTTTTAATATTCATCATCTTTACCATGTAGTTCAATAAAGATCTGAATACTAATGTCTTCATCTAATAAACAATTTTTCTAAGAGGATGCATAGGTAGAGGAAGAAACCCACTTCATACAATACAGCGCCAGTGTGCTTTTGAGATAGCTGGAAAAGGCAACACTCTAGAGAGGCAGACCCTGCAAACAGTTTGGATATATCTTCAGAGAGCTCCAAACTTGGATGACTTTTTGTTATAAATCACCTTGATTAATGGAACACATTTGCTAAAGTGGTTCTGTAATAGCTACACAATTCTTATGGCTTGAAAAATTCAGCCTAGAAAAACTGGTGGGGGTGAGAAAACCTTCACAATTCACTGGCTTCTCTTTCAGAATCAATACTGCCCCTGACCAAAAACAGTTCCTTTTCTTTTTAAAAATAATAATTTTAAGGAAAACAATACATTTTAAGGAAAGTACAATTTGGTAAAATGGGAGTAGAAATGAACAAGTAGAGGATAGTTTGGGAGGAGAAGTTGTAGCATGTCAAGGCATCCAGATTCTAGGTGGAGCCAGGCTACTTGTGTTTGAATTCCAACTATTGTCCGACAAACTGGGCAGTTTATTTAACCACCCTGTTTTTAGTTTTTCCATTTGTCAATTACTACCACTCCTATCTCACTGGGTTGCTGTTGTAATGATTAAAAAAATTAACCCTTGTAAAAGAGTTTCAACAGTGTATGGTACAGATTAAATACATAAGTGTTGGCCAATATTATTACACTTACGTATGTTTGTACATTTATAAATATACAAACCAAAGTGAATGGAATACACCAGGAACTATATACCAGTGTCCTCTTACTAATCCATTCATCAAACATAAAAATTTGATGAATGTTTTCTTTTTAATATATTTTATTGATTTTTCACAGAGAGGAAGAGAGAGAGATAGAAAGCTAGAAACGTCTATGAGAGAGAAACATCGACCAGCTGCCTCTTGCACACCCCCTACTGGGGATATGCCTGCAACCCAGGTACATGCCCTTGACCGGAATCGAACCTGGGACCTTTCAGTCCGCAGACCGATGCTCTACCACTGAGCCAAACTGGTTTTGGCTAAATGTTTTCTTTAAATAGAATATTCACACACAAAAAACTATATCTTATAGTCCTCTGTTTGTCTTTTCTGATTAGCAGATTTTTATCTACATCCTTTTGTCCTGATACAACTCTGATAACTCAACAAGAAAACAATGGTGTGGTATTTAAGTACACAGATTCTGGATAGTAACATTAATATGTTCTATTGTTCTGATTGCAAACTATTTCTGGTTTCAAATTTATCTTGTTAAAGCAATTCAGAAGTGATTACAATCCTCATGAAATGATAACAGTCATATGAAGGTACAACCATTATGTAAAAATCTGACATTTTTTAAGAATAAAAGGATACAGTGTATAGTGCCCCTTATAAAGTCCTCAAAGAAAAATAGGTTACCTTATACTATACTATCTTCAACATTATTATCACCATCAGCTAACAATCACTAGAGTGTTTAACATTATAGTAATAAACACCAAAAATGTTTGAACAGCTGAACCTAGTCTATTGTGGATGGTAAATAAATGAGCTTATTTTGTAATAGTTAATTGATCAAACTTACTCATAGAGCAGACAGAGGCCATTATAGTTTAAAATTAATTTACAATAATGAAGACAATTTAACTCTTAATACCACGCTTACATTGGGAATGAAGATAGAGGTAAAGTTAATAGAAGTAACAGCTATATAACTTGAGAGTGACAGAAATTTTAAATGAAAGTAGGAATTAAGTTATAATATTAAGGTAGGAAAATTATATGCTGAGTAAAGTAAGGCCACCCTCCTCTGCCATAAGCTGTCATATCAGCATGTGATTGGTGAAAGGAGGTAAAACATTACACCTGCTCCTCACTCTTCCTTTCTACAGCTCTTGCTCTTTCTAACTGTTAAAAAGTACATGTAACTTCTATTCTAAAAACTTAAATAGGATTTTAAAAAGCTAACCTATAGGCTTTAATGGATTTTTACCAGCTTTTCCTTAAGTTAGTTGAAAATTTTTCTGAGCCAGGAACCCAGACCATATTGAGTTGTCACATCTCCTTTGTCTTGTCCCATCTATCACAATTCCTGTTTTTCCTTGTTTTTCATGACCTTAACATTTTAGAGTATTTGTCAATATTGTTGCAGAATTACCCTCTCTGCTGTTTTCTCATGATTAGACTGAGGTTATACCCTTTTACAAGAAGACCACAAAACTGATGGGCCCCTTCTCAGTTCAATTCAGAGGCTACACTATGTTGATCTGTCTTGTAATTGGTGAAGTTAACCTTGATCACTCAGTAAAAGTGGTGATTGCCAAGACCTCCTCTATGAAGTTACTATTTTTCCCTTTGTAATAAATATCGTAGGAAAGATACTTTGAGAGTATGCAAATATATTATTTTCTTTCGAACTTTTACCCAATATTTTGATAACTATTGATAAATCTTGCCTTCAACAACTATTACTGAGATATTGATATAAGGTTTTAAAAGGAACTAAAACATATAAAATATAATGGCCAAATGATTCTTGATACAAAAATACTTAAATTTCACTGAATGCAGCACTTTAAATTATATTCAAAATAGATGTCACTTTCTTTTATGTTTTCAATTATTTTTAATAATAACATAACTGAAATTGTTACTTACATAACTATGGCTTTTAAAGAAACTTGATGAACTACTGGTGAGCATTTTGTCTCCTTCCAAACCAATTACTCTTTTACAAATATTTGATTTTGGGTCACTTGGACTTTTTGCAATCACAATGTCACCTCTGAGGGAAAAAGCCAAAGAAATATCAGTGTTATTTATTAAGCACTTGTATAGCATTGCTATAATACTTTTATAAAGCAACTGAAAGCCACACCCTTTATCCTCTCACTGAACTGGCCCTTCCAGACATTTGCCAACTTTGAGAACCTTTGGTGTTAGAATCCAAAGATGAGGGTGATGGAAACATTATTAAAAGATTCTAAAATTTCTGATAACTCTGTAAGAATTATCTTCTTTCACTGTATCTTTTGTGTTACTTTAGTGTCTGAATTTTTAGCAACTAAACTATGGGAAAACAATTTCATGTAAATAGCACCAAATTAACACATTAAATTAACACATTAAATTTTATTGTCCAGCCAGGAGTTTGATGGACTCTAGAGCACATAAAAAGACAGAAACATCATTTGTTTCCCCAGAGCTCGAAGTAGCAAGGAATTATATAACCCAGGTAATTTAGCAGTATTTCCCAAACTTTTCTCATGATGAGAATCACCTGGTGGAGTTGTTAAAATACAGATTCCTGAATCCCAACTAAGAAGTGCTAAACTAGAATTTTTTTCAAAACGGAGAGAAAATATTTAAGATAAAATTTTATTTAGCTTGTCACTCTTGTATATACAAGAGAGTTTTTAAAGATAAAGTTAGAAAACTGCAGAAAAGACACAATGTCCATGTGTATTTCCAACACAAATTTAATATATCTATGACAAATATACCTTTGGATACCATAAAAATGTCGACTAAGATTTTCTGCAAAGACAATATCTGCATTTTGAATCGTAGGCTCCATTGATGGTCCAGAACACTGAAAAGACATAATTTTGTAATTGGAGTTGAAAACCTTTTTAAGTATAACAAACATCTGAGCAATTGAAAGAAAGAAATCAAGCCAATGTTCTCCACGCTTGGAGGATGACTAATAATAAGCTGGCAGCACCCAGAGAAGTTCAAATCTATAGAGTGGCCACCAAGTCTGGAGACATAAGCAAATATATTAAAAATGGTTTATTGATATTACATTATAATACATGAATAAAATAATAATATCTATGTTTCCAAATCTGGGCCATTTGGTAGAAAGTAAGCTCCAGGAGGCCTGGGACCTTGTCTCTCATGTTGCCAGGGCTTGGCATAAAGTGGATACTCAAAAAAACATGTTGAATGAATAAATGAATGATTTATTTTCTTATCAAATATCAGTGATTTATTAAATGGCATATTATTTGCAATGAGTTGATGCCTTTTCTTCTCTTCCAAAAGAGTAGCTTACCCATTGATGGGGCTGCAACTTATATTTTATGCTGAAAAAAATATTAGCGTAATAAGTTGCACTTTAAGACTTCATATTAGTATATCTTAAAACAATAATCTATATACCTCAGAGCTATAATAAAGTGATCATTGCTACCTAAAAAGTCTACTACTCCACTTAAGTGTAAATAATTTTTAGTCAAATCTTCCTGCCTAGGCAGAAAATAATAACACAATGAAAGTTCATGTTTGCTACCTCTGTAGCCCTTGGAAATTTTAAAACTCCAAGAAGGGGGTTCTCAGTTAAACATATTTATTTGCTGAATACTTGGAGTTGTATGACTGAATCTGTTAGGTTAAATCTGATGAAAACAGCCACACCACCAACAAAACCCACTAATCAGTTATTTCACTTACATAATTACTAAAAGGTTAGTACAGTAATGGTTGATAGATTCATAATGCTATATTTAAAAATATCATTGGGGGACATCCTTAACATTTTAATATTGACATAAGACAGAATAATCATTTATTTTAATGACAGTTAAACACAATGGTTAAGAGAAGCAGTTTTGAAAACTGGAGAAAAGTCTGTGTTGAAATTCCACGTCTAGTTGTTAACTTGACATGGACCAAGTTACTTACTAAGCTTTCTGAGCCTCAGTTTCATCATATATCGATATATAGTGGATTTCTATTAAGTGTCTCACAGAGTGTAAAGATTAAATGTGTTAATAACTGAAAACATCAAATATAACCCAGAACATTTTAGCATTCAATAAGTGGTATAACTATTATTCTTAGTATATTAATAGGGTCTTTTGTGCCCTGTCAGAAACTGAATACAGAACCATATTTAAAATAATGGTTCTTATATTTTATCAGCGCCAATACAAATACATTCTCTTACATTCTCTCACATAGTTAGAAAGATGTTTTAACAAACTTTATTCATTAAGTTAATAACTTCAATTATAATAAAGGGAAGAACACATTTTCCTTCTACTTAAAAAGATATATATTTAGCCAAAACTGGTTTGGCTCAGTAGTAGAGCGTCGGTCTGCGGACTGAAAGGTCCCGGGTTCGATTACGGTCAAGGGCATATACCGTGGTTGCAGGCACATCCCCCATAGGGGGCGTGCAAGAGGCAGCTGGTCGATGTTTCTCTCTCATCGACATTTCTATCTCTCTATCTCTCTCCCTTCCTCTCTGTAAAAAAATCAATAAAATATATATTTTTTTAAAATAAAAAGATATAGTATATTTAAAATGATTACTTTCTCGAAAGTAAAAACTTACCATGACAACACCACCAACATATTCAAAAACACAATGCGCTATACAGCCATACTGAATAGTATAGCCAGCAAGTCGAAAGGTTTTCCCCAGAACACCACGAAGCATAGTTCTATGTAGACTCTGTCACCATTGGCCTGATGGTAAATTTCAGAAAGTTTCATGAACAATACTATTTTAAAACACTTAAATAGTTTTATTGTAATATATTTTACAATCATCTAGAATGTATTAAATGAACAATTTAGTGCAGAAAACAACACTTTACTTTCATTTCTGCTAAAAATATTTTTAAATGACAAATAGACACAAGTATTTTGATCTACTGAACAGATTTTATTAAAACACCACTAAGTTTACATATGAACTAGAGGCTCAATGCAAAGAATCTGTGCAAGAGTAGGCCTTCTTTCCCCTAGCTGCCCTCACTGGCTTCCCTCTGGCACTCGGACCCGGGCTTTGGAGGCCCCACCCACCCGCCACAGCCCACTGGCCGGTGCCTGGGCCTCCCTCTGCGGGGTGATCATGAGGCAATGGCCAGGCCCTGGACCAATCGCATCGTACCCACCTTGGCTGTCCTGGCACCAGTGGGTGTCATAGTATCATCCCGGATGGCCATCCAGAGGGCCATCGGGATTGTCCTTGAACTGTTCAGTCGATTTGCATATTATGCTTTTATTATATAGGATTATATAAAATTAGATAACTAGTAGACTCAGCTTGTCTGTCCCCTTTCATGTCTTGGTTATTTCTTGGTATTAAGGCAGACATCTATAGAAAAATATTAACTCTTGCAAAGTACTAGTAATAATTTTCTATATTGTTCCCTGCTATCCTACATCAGTTCTTGTCATAATATAATAAAAAAAAATCACTATAATAGATACATGTAAATTCTTGCATTAAATTGGTCCTTTTATCAACTTGTGTGATTGTCAATGACTTAACCTCTCTGGGCCTCCAAAAATGGAAATATCTCACAGAATGGATCTGAGGATCACATTTGATAATGTAAAAGCACTGTGTAAATTATAAAGTTACATTCAGTTGTCAGCTTAACTATTAATATAGTAATGAACACATGAATAGAGTAAGATAGCATAAAGAACCATATCAAGTATTTTAAAAGCTATGTAAAATTAAAATATTAATAAAATTCATCTAAAATGTTCCTAGTATCTATTATCTCCTTTCTGTTTACCTGTTACAACTGCTTTTCAAGTATCCTATCTAATAAAAGAGTAATATGCAAATTGACTCACTCCAACACACAAGATGGCTGCCTCCATGTGGTCAACACACAGGATGGCCACCACAAGATGGACAGCAGGAAGGGCAGTTGGGAGGGACCAGGCTTGCAAGGGAGGGCAGTTGGGGACAATCAAGCCTGCAGGAGAGGGCAGTTAGGGGTGATCAGGCTGACAGAGGAGAGAAGTTGGGGGCGATCAGGCCTACAAGGAAGGGCAGTTAGGGGGGACCCAAGCCTACAGGAGAGGGCAGTTAGGGGCAACCAGGCTGGCAGGGGAGGGCAGTTAGGGATGACAAGGCTGGTAGGGGAGGGCAGTTAGGGGCAATCAGGTTGGCAGGGGAGTGCAGTTAGGCATCAATCAAGCTGGCAGGGGAGTGGTTGGGGGTGATCAGGCTGGCAGGCAGAAGTGGTTAGGGGCAATCAGGAAGGCAGGCAAGCAAGCAGTTGGGAGCCAGCAGTCCTGGATTGTGAAAGAGATGTCCAACTGCCCATTTAGGCCCAATCCCTCGAGGGGTCCCAGATTGGAGAGAGTGCAGGCTGGGCTGAGGAACACTCCCCCCTCCCACATGCACAAATTTCGTGCATCAGGCTTCTATTTTCTCAAATAATGGTTTATGCCTAGGCTACTATGTATTACTCTCAGATTAAAACTACTAAAACAAAATAATATTAATTAAAATTTGATCAATACTTGCTATCTGTCAAGCTTTACAAATTAACCTCTGTAAGGTAGATATTACCATCCTCATTATATAGATAAGAAAAATGAGCCTATAAGTAGTAAACTTGCTGATGAAATTCACAAAATTGGAAAATGGAGTTAAGAACTTAATCACTGTTACACTGACTCTCATATTACTCTCCTGCTCCCATAACCGCAATAGCTCTGTCATATTACCTAAGCCTCATTTTAGGATCCTTGACAGTAGGTTTGTTATTGGTTGTATATTTCAGATAGTACAAATGAGTAAATATCAGGATTCTCAATGTCAGAGAAAGAAGCTATAAATATAGGACGGTAGGTGAGGTATGAGTAGAAAGTATCAAAAGGAATTTATTTAAATAGATATGTTTGTGTTCGTCTGCCTTCCTGCCTATATAAAGTACCACCCTAGCCCTTCCACTGAAAGAAGCAAGGGTTCTGCAGTAGTAATAGGCACACTTAGAGGCAGATTTTTGGTTTCCAAATATTTCCCATTAGGAGCAATGGCATAGGGAAGAGCAAATCAGTGCTCAAAATTAATAGAGACATCCAGAATATGTGAATAATTTATCAAATTATTAAAAAAAAGAAAACAAAATTAAGCAAACAAACAAACAAAAAAACAAAACAAAACAACAACAAAAAACCATGAAGATTTCACAAAGAAAGATATCCAAATGGCTGATGAGAAGCATGGGAAAGAAAGGTTGGACTGATGTTAAAACTGAAAAAGCCCTGGCTCGGTGGATCAGTTGGTTGGAACATTGTCCCTACAACAAAAGGTTACGGGTTTCCTATCCTGTCAGGCGCACACCTGGGTTGCAGGTTGAATCCCTCATCAGGGTGCATATGGGAGTCAGCAGATCTATGTTCAATGTTAATGCCCCTCTCTTTCTCTCTTTCTCTCTCTCTCTCTCTCTCTCTCTCTCTCTCTCTCTCTCTCTCTCTCTCTCTCTCTCTCTCTCTCCCCCTCCCTCCCTCCCTCCCTCCCTCCCTCCTCCCTTCCTCCCTCCAAATTCAATAAAAATATATCCTCAAGTAAACAAAAAACAAACAAACCAAAAAAAAAAACTAACTAAAAAGATGGAGCTGAGTGAACTCCTGAAGCTGAAAAGAAACTAGGCATTCCTCCATCCCTATAAGTTTCTAGAATAGGGGTACAAGCCTAAGAGCTTGATTTAGATCTATCCATCTTTTGATATTGGTGAAGTGATTTCAGAATACCCTAAGCCCCAAGGAAAACATCTACCTGGTTGTTCAGGTCTGGAATTCCTTTTAAAAAAAGAAAGCATTTTGTTTCAGAAATAGGGGAAAAATGCAAAGTGTCAAAGTTAATTGAGACTATCAGTTTACAAAAATGCATTCATTTTAAATTATAAGCAGCCAAAGTGATTAATATCATATTTTTTGTTTTAATAAGAGGTACAGTTAATAAATATATTAACATTCATAAAATGCTCACATTAGGAAAAGGTGGGGAGAGAGAAGTCTATGTGAAGCAGAAGACAAATCCCAATATCATAGTTTAGCTGTATATACCTTCATTTGGATAAGAAAAAGCAGCAGACTTATGACATTCCTGAGACTTCTATGATTTATCAAATTCAAGAAAACCTACACAAAATACATTTTCCCATATAATTATATATAAAGTAACTGAAAGATATATGTCCTTTTCAGACACTGAGTGGAAGTTATTGTGACTAGGAGAGAACAACCAAGACTCATTAAGACATGGATGCTGAGTGATGTACTCTGCTCAATAGCTAAATAATTCACTCACACAGCAGCCTATCAAAGTAATTCAAATTCCTGCCATTTCAAAATCACCTTCAAGGCTGCTCATGAGTTGTTCAAATCCATAATGTTAAATCTACTGTAAGACTGTGCATAGGGTATTTTTTTTTTTATTTTCTAGAACTATAAATTCAAGGACTTCTGATCTCCAGATCTATGAAGATTTTCCTTAAACCTATTTATTGTGATTCATTGCCAGAGGAAATAATTGGCAATCCTTTAAGGTTTAGAGAAGTAAATACCATCTTAAATCTGATTGCAGCATCACAATAACCTGAGAACTATTGATAAATTCAAAATCAAAACTCCTAGGCACCCATCACAGAGCTCAAGAATGACAATCTGTGGGGGCAAGGCTGTAGAATCTGTAAGATCCCAGAAAGGAAGGCCAGAAAAAGACTGTGCTGTCATTTGAGGCCACTGAGGCATAGTAAATACTTTCAGAAACATGACAAAATTTAACCATCATTGTAAGCTGAATGTTAATGTTGAGATAATTCTATAAATTTTCATCCAATAAACTTTATAATGCTAATATTTATGATTTTTTAAAATCCAATGTTATCTACTAAAGTTTATTTTATATGTATATATGCATACATATGTAATCAAAGTAAAAACTCATTTTATGTTTATAAAGCATAAAATGCTGACACTTTTAATATAATCAAGTGCCAGCTCCCAAAGAGTGGAATAATCCATGTGCTATATAATCCATGTATCTCAGGAAAATATACAAGTTGTACAAGCAATAGTTAAAGAATATGCATTCAAATGGAACAAATACCATTCAGCATTATCACTGACTAGCTATAGCTGTGCCAGTCTACAGTTCAAGTATGGCCCTTTGATGTGATGCTAAGATTCATCAACTATCAAAAGAGAAAAAATAGTTTATCATCCCTTAAATAATTAAGAATTCCCTTATTATTTATTGTACCTTATTTATTCCTTTTTTAAAAATGTTTTCTTCTAATTTCTCGTCTCCAAAAATAACTCCCTTAACTCTTATTGATATAATGATGAGTCAATTATTAAGTTAATAATAGTAGCTTTTAAAGATAAGCCAAATTTCTTATAAGTTGTCAATAAGGTATTAAATTCAAGTAACCTATATCTGAAAAGAATGTATATAATTGAGAAGGCCTTATATGTTAATAGTGAATTTAATTAAGATGAGTTTATTTGGGACTTTCCAAATGAAACAACCATCTCTAATCAAATAAGAATAATGCCCAGGATAAAGAAAGAAAAAATAATAATTTTCAAGAGCCATTCAGTAACCAAGTAAATAAAAAGCAGAAAAGTAATCATGTTTAATAAAAACTTAGAAAGGAAAGCTACTTTTAAGAAATAACT